TACTTTCGCAACACGAAACTTAAAATCGCAACGCGAAAATGACTATCGCAACATGGAAATGGCTATCGCAATGCGAAATGAAAATCGCAACGACAAAATCGCAATGCGAAATGAAAATACCAACGACAAAATCGCAATGCGAAATGAAAATCCCAACGACAAAATCGCAATGCGAAATGAAATCGCAACGACAAAATCGCAACGCGAACACAAATCGCATTGCGATTTCATTTCGCGTTGCGATTTTGTCGTTGCGATTTTCATTTCGCATTGTGATTTTGTCGTTGCGATTTTCATTTCGCATTGCGATAGCCATTTCCGTGTTGCGATAGTCATTTTCGTGTTGCGAAAGTAAACTATTCTTCTTCTGCAAATTGAAACTTGAATGGATTGCATTACTTCAACCAAAAGACAAAAACAAAACCAAAAACAAATACTAACAAAAACAGTTTAGCAGTATTGGTAGCAACCGAATGAATTACGAGTATGAAAAATCTTAAACTTACCTCGTTGCGTAGAGTATGAACCACATTCTGCAACGATGCTACCATCTCACGTAGAGCGGCTACCTCACCGCGTAATGTAGACACCTCAACACGCCATGCACCATCGTCTTTGCGTAAAGTACCAACCTCCTCACGCAAGGCATTGACCTCATCACGTAACTCCCCTAACTCATCCCGTTGAGGTGGAGAACAGGGAGATAAACGTCGTGGCATCTTTGCCGGTCGCCTATCTTGCGGTGATGGTGAAGAAGAGGCTCGATGATGTGACAGAATAGGTGATGGCTGTCGTTGTGGATGTGTATAGTCGGGTCGATCAGATGATGGCTCTAGGTGAGGTGATAGCTCTAGGCGAGGTGATGGCTCCCGAAGTGGAGGCTTCTTATCAACCGTTCCATCAAAAAAACGCTTACTAGCTTGCTACTAATCAGTGGCAAGCTCAGCTTCCGTGGGTGTCAGCCTCTGTAGAAGAGTGTTGGCCTCCTAACAATATAAAAGCTCAAACAAAGTTAAACGTGTACTAGTAATAACTTGTTTATAAATATATGGTAGTATTTATGTTAACTTACATTATTTATTGTCGTATACCGTAGTAAATCTTCCCATTGCAAGGTCCGTTTCCTCTTCCAGGAAATAGCCCTGGGAATATCATTTGAAGTTTTTATTGCATATGTCTTCATGGCGGGAAAGGCCTCAAATATCCAAATCTACAAACAATATAATAACAAACATTAGTAATTGTTAAATAATTACTTATAATTTTGGAAACATTATATAAAAATTCTTACCTTAAAGGCCCAAATAAAGCCTGTCAAAGTGTATTTGGAACCATCGCCATGCAAACTTTTTCGATCATCAAAGGCAGACGATAACTTATTCCATGTAGCTTTCCATAAATACGAGCCCCACGGAAACAGGTTCCACGCATTTAGGTCTTCTACCAATTTGATTAGATCATTTGGAATAGGTTGTCTGGCCCCTCTGCCTAAAAATCCGGCATGCAAAAGAATTAGAAGGCATACTCGGACAACGTCGACGTCATCCATCCGAGTAAAACCATCTTTCTTATTCAACAATCTTGTCAAGTCTTCTACGTGTAGATTCGGCCTCTCCAGCTCAGGAAAAACCCGAGATAGCCATGATGGGCGGGTAATGTGTCTAGTGTACCGACCTATATCATCGTGTCCGAAGCGTAGACCGGTGATTAAGCAAAACTCCTCCTGCCCAAAACACGTATACGCCGGTGGAAAATCAAACCATATCTCTTCATCACGACGTTGTATAGTCTCTGGTAGATCGCTATTCATGGTTTGAAGAAACAGGTGTGTCAACATCGCATCTCCACCGGGATGTTGTACTTTCAGTCATGGCCCGAAGCATGTATCCTCAAACATTTTTCTTTGTGCAAGTGAAAGCTTCGACGCAATTGTTTTGGCCAGGCTGACTTTATTTCTTAAGGTCAATTGAGCCGAATAAAAGTTCTATAAAAACAATAAACATACTAAGTTAGATATACCAAAAACTACACTGTGAAGATATACCAAAAACAATAATAAACATAAAGAGTAGTAGTTTATTCTTCAAACTTAAATTTGCAACACTGTGAATTTCGTATTTGTCTTTGTTTTTTGGTTGAAGTAATGCAATTTATTCAAGTTTCAATTTGCAGAAGAAGAATAGTTTCTGAAAATGAAAATAGCAACACGAAAATGACTATCGCAACGCGAATTTGACTATCGCAACGAGAGAATCGCAACGCGAAACTAAAATCGCGTTGCGATTTTCAATTCGCTTTGCGATTCTCGGTTGATTTAATAAGCAATCTAAGTGAAATGGTTAATCTATTATTAAAATTACCAGTAAACTTATCATCAATTTCAATATGAAAAACCTAATAATAATGCAAAAATTTCAAAAAGAAATAATTAAAAAACTAACCCTCGTTGGTTGATTTGGTTGATTTTCCATTTCTGATTGTGAGGGTGGCTCTGAGAGATGGAGATAGACGGATTTCGCCGGAGATGGGGACGGATTTCGTCGGAGATGGGTGAGAGAGTGAGAGATGGAGATGGGACTGAGTTGTGATTTTAGGTTTTAGGTTATGAGTTGCGATTACGGGATATACTGTGGACGGTTCAGTGTTCCAATATATTAATATTCGTGTTTGGAATTTAAAAATAAAATACTTGGCCAGGATACTAATGGTGCTTTGAAAATCGCATTGCGATTATGTATTATCGCGTTGCGAAAGTCAGAATCGCGTTGCGAAAGTCAGTATCTCGTTGCGATTTTGTATTATCGCATTGCGATAGTAAGTATCGCATTGCGATAGTCAGTATCGCATTGCGATTTTCCCAATTCGCGTTGCGATTTACTTATTCGCATTGCGAATTGGGAAAATCGCAACGACACTGTAAACCATCGCAACGCAATTTTCAACTATCGCAACGCGAAATGCAAAGCGAATTTGCGATAATGGAGATCGCATTGCGATTTTGTTGGTCATTTTGGCAAATCCGGAAAAAGTTGGTTAAAATCGTATATTATATGGGATTTTTGGTCACTGAGGTTATTTTCTCTTTTTTTTTTTATATTTAAGAACTTGGTTGATTGTAATTTTCATAACAATAACCTAATTAATCCAAATTGTTAAATGAGCTGTTATTTTTTCTTGAAGTTCTAGATTCGAGTAATTGTGTTTATAAAATATACTTACACTATTAATATCTAAAAAAAATTAAACAGATAATTACATTGCAATCATCTTGTACTATTAAAAAAAAACTTCTCCTATGTGCATTACCTCTTGAACTTATCTTTCTCCTTCTTGCAATATCGTGTATGCTTGAGGTAAAGAGATACCATTTCTTTTCTCTTCTTTGTCGTTCAAAAATAAAATAATAAAAAAAAAAGACTAGATTGTTTTCTTAAATGCTTAAAGCATCCTAATCCAAAAAAAAATCAAATTACGTGTATAAATTAGATTTGGACATGGTTTTTCTTTGTTTCTAAATAATTGCATGAATTCGACACCTCCTTATCTCGTGGGACTAGCAAGTTACGTGACTTTGTTTCTCCTTCAATTCAACTCTATTCACACCTCTCGTGCGTCCTACGACTCTCTCTTCATCATACAACATTGTAATGTAAGAATAGAAAAATAAAATTCAATTCAATCATCATCTTTATTATTACAAAAATTCTGATATTACATCTAAATATGTAATATCTACTATAATTATAGACATTGTTTAGGTTTTTCTTTTCTTTGATTATCTATAAGGAGGATTTTTTTTATTGAATCTAACAATTTTAAAATGAAACACTTGACAATATAATCAAGTTTATTAGATATCACATGTTAAGCGTCAATGCAGCATCCACCTACGTAAAGACAATTTCAGTTGTCATTTGTTTGAAATATAACATGCTATTTTGTGTCGGATGAGACACAGCCTGCCGTCGTCGGGGTTGTTGCTAATGGTTTAAGAGCCGAAGAGCAAATATTATTTGCTTCTTCTTTTTTAAACGATTACAGATATCTTTCGAAATCAATTTGTTTTGGAATCTATAATGAGCCACCTTTTTTTGATGGAAAATATTTTATAGTAAAAGCAATGCATTCATAGTCCATTTACCAAATTCGTCGAATGAATTGGGCGGCAAAAGTAAGCTTGTTGTTGACGGTTCCTTTAAAAGGCTTTGCCTACTAAAGGTAATAATAGAATTTAGAAAACTTTTGAGTGTTTCCCCGCAAGCCAAGTTGTGGAAAATCTTTTTGATTTATCCTTCATGTGATGCAAAGGACTCATTAATTCGTATTGAATATTATAAAGATTTTCTATGAATTACTTGACTGTAATTAGAAGATTATTAAAAAATAAAGAAAAGAATAGCAAATTTAAGTTTGTCCATGTTCAGCGTGGATTAAGACTGTGTTTTCCCTTTACAACTTTATGCCTTTATGGGAAAGGTTATTTTCATTGGAAATCCAAATTCCAATATTATTATCAAGCCCCCAAGAAGAAAGGCAACACCTTTCACGTATAGCTAATTAACTCATATTTGCAATGATAGAAACATTATTAATGATATAATAAACATATATATCTCCCAACCACTCTTATCTTACGTAATTGGTATCAGCTATCAACTATTCTTTGATCGTTTCCCATAATTTTCTTACTTGCCTACAGGTTTCATTTCCAGGGAAAGAAAAACAAATTAAAGGAGCCGCCAAGAAAGGATCGGTAGACCCAGAATCAGTAGTAACGTGATTGAACCATGCCATGCAATCTCCACGTGCACACATTGCAAAGTTAAAACTCTTGCGTCACACGTGTGGCCGGCCTCAGCGATTACGTACACGGTGACGTGATTAAACAGAGGAAGGGGGGGGGGTAGTGTATTTAAGGCTGTCGTAGCTTATAAATCGTGATCCCTAATATTTGTTCAAGGCACGAAAGCTTTGCTTAAAGTTTGGTGATTTACAAAAGGATGGAGCAGATATTGCATGGGTTGAAGACTGCAATGTTGATGGTGGTGGTTCAAATAGTGTTTGCAGGTGTTAATGTGTTGTATAAATTGGCAGTTTGTGATGGAATGAGCATGAAGGTTACGGTTGCCTATCGCTTCATATTTGCCTCCGCTCTTATGATCCCTCTTGCTCTCCTTGTTGAAAGGTTGCTTATATATTTTCATTCATGTTCGCTTTTGTTTCTCGACTCTACCCACCAATTTAGGTCATAGGTTCGAATCTTATCATATTAATCTCGTATGGTAATTAACCCTTTTTCTTTTTGCATTTCTTGTTTGTTCCGCAGGAAGAGGCCAAAGCTAACTTGGACTATACTACTTCAAGCATTTTTCTGTGGGTTACTCGGGTAAGCTTATTTGGTATCAAACAGGTTAATTAACCATTCATTAAGTTTAAAGTTCTCTATGTTTGTTGGTATTATGAAGGGGCTCAGTGGCTCAAAATTTGTACATAGAAGCCATGGCACTAACGTCAGCAACATTTGTTTCTGCCATAACCAATCTAATTCCAGCCATAACTTTCATTGTGGCCGTCACCATTGGGTATATATTCTCCATCCTTTATTTGAGTCATACAAGTAGAGAGATTAATAAAACAAAAGGATGAGTTCTACAATTAATAGTATGGTTGAAGTTGAATGCCATATTTTGATGGGGTGCAGATTGGAAAAGGTGGGTTTTGGAACAATGGCAGGGAAGGCAAAGGTGTTCGGAACATTAATTGGACTAGGCGGGGCAATGATATTCACCTTCTTCAAAGGACCCAGAATTGAGATGGGATCGGTCCATTTAGATCTATTACGTCACCTACACCATGTGCCTTCTTCTTCTTCTTCTTCGTCTAATTCACATCCAAGCACTGCCCATCATGTATTGGGAGCTTTGCTTGCTCTTGCCAGCTGTACTTGTTATGCTATATGGTTGAACATTCAGGTATTCATTTCATTTGCAATATATGAGTGAATCATATTCTTTATTTTTTATGATTATATTTTACTCTTTTTTTTAATACAAGACGAAGATGAGCGAGAAATACCCATGTTATTACTCGAGCACAGCATTGACATGCACAATGGCAGCCATACAAACAACTGCTCTTGCACTTTGCGTGGAAAAAGATTGGAGTCGGTGGAAATTGGGTTGGAATGTCAGGCTTCTCACTGTTGCCTATGCGGTACGTTTACAAGAAAGAAAGAAAGAAAACAAGTTTTAAATATATTTAAAATTTCAAATTAATCTATATATTTTAGTTTTATGATATTAAGTTTCTGTATTATTTTTTACTTAAAATTTTGATCTTTTTTCTCTCTCTAATTTTTATTCAATTTTATCATTAAACATTAACTTAACAGCTATAAACAAAGTAAAATATTTCTTTAGTTTTTTTTTATCGATTTGGCTCTTAAAATTTTGATCTTTTTTCTCTCTCTAATTTTTATTTGATTTAAAGATGAATGGTCAAATTTTTAAAAGCTGCAAACATGGGGGACTAAAGAATTTACTTTTCCTTTTTAACGGTAAAATATAATAGAAATTAGGGAAAATATATAAATTAAATTTCAAATTTTAAAATAATACAGATGTCCAATTTTTAATGATTATTTTATAATTATTTCAAAAGTTTAATGGATTATTTAAAAGATGAGAATAAAAAAATATTTGTATATAATTCAGTGAATTCTTTTAATTTCGGCACGGCTAAATTTGGAGATTATATGTGCCACTGGTGTGTGTCAGCAGGGAATCTTCGGGTCCGGGTTGATGATTAGCTTGATCTCTTGGTGTGTGCGCATGAGAGGTCCGCTTTACGCATCCAGTTTCAGCCCTTTATCGCTCGTTTTAGTAGCTTTAGCAGGCGCTTTCTTTCTCGAAGAAAAGTTGTATCTCGGAAGGTAATTAATTACTTAATCAATCAATTAATCAATCACGTTATCTTGTTTTAATGTGGTCTAAATCACAGCATAATAGGAGCAGTGTTGGTTGTGGTGGGACTATACATTGTGCTGTGGGGAAAAGGCCAAGAGATGAAGAGAATGAATCAATTAGTTTCATCAAACAAAAACTGTTCCAACAATGGAGCTATTCAAGTTGTCGTTGCTCCTTGCGCCGACAACACTTCTACCATTAATAACAACGACGACAATAGTAAGCATTAAGAAATTCACCAAACTAAGATGAATTTCGGAAAAGGGAATAAAGTTTAGAAGCAAAATATAGTGATGATAGAGAAAATAGGGAAATGGTTTGAGTAAAGTTTTGTTATTTCCCCTTTCTGTTTTAGATTGTTTCATTGTTTGTAAAACTATAATCTTCTGTTTCCCCCCCCCCCCTTTTATTAAAGTATTGGTATCAGTTTCGGATCGATACAGGGTATTATCGTGAAATATAAAATATATATTATAAAAAATACATAAAAAAGATAAATTGTGGCCCCACTAAAACACATAAAAACGATTAATGACAATCTTTAATTCTCTTCTTTCCTTTCGCTGTCATTATCTTTCTTTTATTTTCACTTCTTATCCTTAGGGTGACCATTGTAGGATGAAAAATTGATACGGCCGTGTTATTTGTGAGCTAATCTGTATCTTTGATGTCATCACCAGAATGAGAGGCTTACATCATAGAGAAACCCTAATTTTCTCTTTAATTCAAGCCTGACGAATCAGTTGCACCATTTTCCCAATCAAAATCTGAATTGTGGAGTTACCTTGGCATTTGGTGAAGCAAATTGGCATGACAAAGCAATGGCAGTGATGATTGGAAGACGGTGCCAGGACCATCAGCTTTGCTGTTGTCAGATCATTGATGCAGTGTTTAGTGTTTTGTCACCCATCAATTCCTTTACATTTTTAGCGCAGCAAAATCTTAATGGCACCACGTTCAGCTTTAATCATAATGTTATGATTTATGATAAGAATGTAGAAGAAATTTAGGGATTTCAAAATAGAAAAAGACTTGGATACAGAAAACGTGTATTCATTCATAAGATAACCCTTAAAGGATTGGTACAAATTATATATATACAGTACCAACTGTCATAACAGCAAATCCAACAAAATAAATGTCCCAAGTTGACTCACCCTCCAAACTTCTCTCCTAAAATTATTATAACACTCAAGCCCAACATATAAGCCCACATGTAACTTATATTGATTTAAGTCTAAATAAGCCCACTGAACACTCCACCCGCCTACCTTCAACCCGTGTCTCTTACGCTTCATTATGTCTTCTCTTCAATTCCCCAAATCCTCAGATACAATCTCATTCCCTAACCTCCATGTCAATCCCTAAATTCATTCGATCCTCCCCCAATTTCGACTATTGCTTCCCAATTCTTCCCTTCGCCATTTCCCCCAAATCAACACGATCAAACCCTAACTTTCCTGTCATCATAACAATACCCCCTTCTCCAGACGATTCTTATCCCCAAGGATCGAACTGAGGAAACTGTTTTCTCAATACGATATAATCCTCCCAAGTTGCTTCTGTTGCTCCCATATTTGTCCACTGAATGAGCAGTTGAATGACTGCTCGATTTTGTCTTGTAATCACTCGCTGATCCAAAACAAGGGCTGGGTATATCTTCAGTTGTCCATCGGACGCAACCTCTGGAGGATCGATCGAGATAAATCCCTTTTCCCTACTTTCTTCTTAAGTAAACTTACATGAAAAACTGGATGTATCTTCGAATTTGCTGGCAAATCAAGTTTATAAGCAACTTGACCAATTCTATTTTGTATCTTGTATGGCCCAAAATAACGAGCAGCAAGCTTCAAATTTCTTCTTAGGGCCAGTGATGTTTATTTGTAGGTTGGAGCTTCAGGTAAACTTCATCACTAATTTGAAACTCCCTGTATGTTCGATGTTTATCACTCATTTGCTTCATTCTATTGGTAGCTTTAAGTAATTGCTCTCATAGTAATGAATTTAGTTGTTCCCTGTGTTGCATGGCATTCTGCACTGCCTCCACCCTAGAGTCTGTTGTCCATGTCACATTAGGAGCTTTATACCCATATAAAGCTTCAAATGGTGTCATTTGTAGAGCAGAGTGGTAATTAGTGTTATACCACCATTCAACCTGAGCTAACCATTTGGACCAAGTCTTTGGTTTCAAGAAACACACACACCTCAAATACTGTTCTAAACATTGATTCAACCTCTTTGTCTGGCCATCTGTCTCATGATGATAGGCAATACTAAATAATGTAGTTGAACCAAATTGCTTCATTAATTCCTGCCAAAACAAACTAGTAAAAGACTTGTCCCTATCAGAAATAGCCACTTTAGGATGACCATGTAACTTGTAAACTTGATCAATATAAACTCTAGCAACTTCCACTATTGTATAGGGATGGGATAGTGGCATAAAATGAGCATATTTAGTGAATTTATCAACCACAACCAAAATGCAATTATATTTTGTTGAAGATGTCAAACCTTCAATGAAGTCCATTGTAATCACTTCCCAAGCATTGTTTGGGACTGCAATAGGCTGTAACAACCCTGGTTTAGAAATATGTTCTATTTTTGTCCTTTGACACACATCACACTGTTGTATATGCTCTTGAATTTGCATTTTCATCCTTGGCCAGAAAAAATAAGACTTAATTTTCTGATAAGTAGCTTGAATACCTGAGTGACATCCTTGTGGTGAATCATGCAAAGCCACAATTATATTCTACCTCAAATCCCCTTTTCTACCCACATAAATTCTAATTTTGAAATACAAGACTCATTTCAATAATTTTCAGTCCTGTAGGTCATCTGGCTTAATAACCAGAATAGGAATTTTTTCATGGGCTATAACATCATCTTCATAACTCTTTTCAATATCCTGTACCCAAGTAGGAGTTATAACAGTAACTCCCATTTGAACAAATTCACCAGAATCCAGTTGCTGTCTAGAGAGTGCATCTGCAGCTCTGTTAGACTTACCCTTCCTATACTGGATAATATAATCCAACCCCAATAACTTTGTAAGTCCCTTATGCTGGATAGTTGTAGTTAACTTCTGATCAAGTAAATGTTTTAAGGACTCATGGTCTATTTTAATGACAAAAGAACCACTCTCCAAATAATGCCTTCAATGAGAAACTGCCATCAAAATGGCCAAATACTCATTCTCATAAATTGAAAGATCTGCATGCTTAGGACCCAAAGCTTTACTCAAATAGGTTATAGGTCTCCCTGCTTGAGAAATAACAGCTCCAATCCCTTTAGAACTAGCATCAGTTTCCAAAAAAAAATCTGCTCAAAATTAGGCAAAGCCAAAACTGGAGCATTACACATAACTTCCTTTAGCTTTTCAAAAGTTGTTATGGCTTCTTCAGACCAACAAAACCCATCATTTTTCAACATATTAGTTAAGGGCTTACTCAGTTCCCCATATCCTCTTATGAATATCCTGTAGTATCCAGTTAATCCCAAAAATCCTCTTAAAGCTTTCAGATTCTTAGGCAAGGGCCACTGTTGCATGGCTTTAACTTTGTTAGGATCTGTTACCACCACATCAGCTGATATTAAGTGCCCTAGATACTCCACTTGCTGCTGCCCAAAGAAGCACTTACTCCTTTTAGCATATAATCTGTTTTTCAACAGAACCTCCAACACAGTTCTTAGGTGTTGTTTATGCTCTTCCAAGCTAGGACTGTAAATCAATATATCATAAAAAAATACAAGAACAAACTTCCTTAAATATTCTCCAAACAAATCATTCATCAAAGCTTGAAAAGTAGCTGGAGCATTAATAAGACCAAAAGACATTACTTTAAACTCGTAGTGTCCTTGATGAGTCCTAAAAGCAGTTTTAGGAATATCTTCCTCCTTGATTCTAATTTGCCAATATCCAGACCTCAAATCAATTTTTGAAAAGAAAACAGCCTCATTCAATTCATCTAACAAATCCTCCACTATAGGAATAAGAAACTTATTTTTAACTGTAGCAGAATTAAGTTTCCTATAATCTACACAAAATCTCAAAGTTTCATCTTTCTTTTTAATAAGTAAACATGGAGAAGCAAAAGGACTTTTACTAACCTGAATAATAGAAGAGGATAACATTTCAGTAATCTGTTTCTCAACTTCAGCCTTATGATGATGAACAAATCTATAAGGTCTAAGGTTTACTGGTTGTGTTCCCTGTTTAAGGACAATTGCATGATCATGTTTCCTACTAGGAGACATTCCCCTTGGTTCTTCAAAAACTTCTTTAAACTCTTCTAGGAGTTCTTGTAATGGTAAAGGAACTACACTGTCTTCTACTTCAGCACTTAGCAAATAAATCTCCCCACTTAATTCAGTGTCTTTTTCTGCTAACTTTTGTAATTTCTCACATGTGATGGATCTAATTAATGCAGCTTTTAAGACCCTTTTATAACTACAGTTTCTTCATCTTTCTCAAAACTGATGGTTTTAGTTTTAAAATCCATCATTATAGGGCTAAATTCTTCCATCCAATCTACCCCTAATACCATGTCACTACCTCCCAGAGATAACACTAAAATCATGCTGGAAATCATAACCATGCATCTTCCAACTCACTTTATTGCTCTTAGCCGTACTGAACAGCTTATCCCCATTAGCTACTGAAATAACTAATGGCTGGGTATGAACCAATTCAACCCCTTCCTTAGCCCATTGAGGAGTTATAAAACTATGGGTGATGCCACTATCAATTAGCACATTAATAGGTTTTCCCTTGATAAAACCTTGAATCCTCAAAGTAGTATGTCCCACATTCCTTGTAATAACATTGATAAAAATTTCCAAGGCTTCTTTAGCTTGATCTTCTACCTCTCTATTCTCACCTTCTGTTAAATCCTGTTCAGCAGAATCTGTAGGTTCGTCTTCCTCCATACAGTTCAGCTGTCTGACTTTGCACTGATGCCCTAGAACAAATTTTTCTCCACATTTAAAGCACAAATTGTTGGCTCTTCTATAATCCAACAAATTCTGTTTTGGATTGGAATTAGGAGGAACTGGCTTAGGTAATAAACTCCTATTACCACTGTTCTGTTGACTGTTTGAAAGAGTGTAAGAAAAAAATTTACTAGGAGATTTGTACTTCTTCCCTTCAATCTCATTAGCTAACTCATAGAGTTTAGCTTGCCTATAAGCTTCAGATAGATTCTTAGGCTCCAACACCTTCACCTTATGTTTTAATTCCTCCTTAAGACCACTAATGAAGCTGAAAACAAAATAATTCTCCCCTAAATGCATATGTTGTTATAGTAAATAGGGTCTTAACTCATCAAACTTTTCTTGATACTCTTCTACACTATCCTTCTGCATTAACTTATTAAATTCTTCAATGATATCTGAATAGTTTCTATCACAAAATCTATGACACAAATCAGCCTCAAACTCATGCCAAGTCACTCTATGCTTCTGCATAATATAGCCATCAAACTAAGTCTCAGCCTTTCTCATCAAATACATTGCAACCACATCCAGTTTCTGTTCCTCATGAACTCCCAAAAGATTAAAATATTTTTGGCATTTTCTAACCCATCCTCTGGGATTACTGCCATTAAACATATGTAATTCCAATTTAGGTCGAGGTAAAATAGGCCCATAACTCCTAAACAAACCCTTACTGTCTACTTTAATCTCACTAGAACTACCCATGATATTTTCTTCTTGCACTTTTGGATTAAAAGGTAGAGGACTAGTAAACTCCACAGGTTTAGCAGCTAATATCCCCGGTTCATTAGGTTTAAAAGTATACTTCTCATGCTCACTCGGAACCGTAACTAAACATGGTTGCTTACATTCACCTTTGTTTTGCTTTTCAGCTGCTGATGATTGACTCCTTTCTGACTGAGGTGAGTCTTTTTCCTCAGCTGCCTGGTTGACCAACTGTAGGATTCTCTGCAAATAGCCCCTGTTCTCAGTCATCCCATCCTCCAAGGTTTGTATCCTTCCCTCCAGCTCTGCTTTCTGCTCAACCCACCAAGATGGTAAGGTCTCCTCATTCACCTCTAATGCTTGTTCCAGTACCTCAATTATTCCCTTCTTTTGCATCTTTCTTGTCTTTCCCAACGTGAAAAATGGATTTTTGGATCATAAAACTTAGCTCTGATTACCAATTTATTATGATTTAGGATAAGAATGTAGAAGAATTTTAGGGATTTCATAATAGAAAAAGACTTAGATACAGAAAACTTGTATTCATTCATAAGATAACCCTTAAAGGATTGGTACAAATTATATATATACAGTACCAACTGTCATAACAACAAATCCAACAAAATAACCGTCCCAAGCTGACTCACCCTCCAAACTTCTCTCCTAAAATTATTATAACACTCAAGCCCAACATATAAGCCCACCTGTAACTTATATTGGTTTAAGTCTAAATAAGCCCACTGAACACTCCACCCGCCTACCTTTAACTCGTGTCTCTTACGCTTCATTATGTCTTCTCTTCAATTCCCCAAATCCTAAGATACAATTTCAATCCCTAACCTCCATGTCAATCCCTAAATTCATTCGATCCTCCCCCAATTTCGGCTGTTGCTTCCCAATTCTTCCCTTCGCCATTTCTCCCAAATCAACACGATCAAACCCTAACTTTCACGTCATCATAACACATAACTCTATAAAATATAAATGAATCATAATAATATAGAGAAAGAAAGTGAGGCCATTCGAATATTCTTATGAAATTTTACACTCAGAATGTGTTAGATCAGTTCTCGGGCCTGGCCTACCATCTTCCCCTTCTGACAGGATTTACATAAATGGCTAATGAGATTAGTTTTCTTCCTTTTCTTTATTCACAAATTACCTAACCTAAGCAAAATGCATCTTCTTCCACACCTCAAACTTTAGTTTCTGAAAAGATATTCCACATGGGTAAAATCTAGATCAAGCTTGAACTCGGTTTTTGCTTTCATTACTCGTAATACCCCACTTCAGTTTCAGCTTGGTTCTTGCAGTTATTTCCTATAGCTTCAATTATGGACACAGGATTAACAAGAAAAAAAAAGATAAGGAACTGCTGCCGAACATTTACCATTCCATGGAATGAACACGCCTGCACGACGTGGTCTTTGCTTCTCCATGACGGGGATGAGGTTCTTCATCAACTGCGTTAGAGTTAAACCACGAGGTGTCATCAACCTGGTAAGCAAAGAGGACAACGGTACAAGGTTTAACAGCCATAGCATATCTTAAATACGAATCATTGTTATCATGGGGAAAAAATCTGCAGCCATGGTGATGAGCTCTTAACTCGTTATGATGTATTATGTAAAAGAAAGCAATTCCAAAGTGAAAATGTATTCACTCAATGAGTCGATGTTTGCTGAAATGTTCATTTACTTGCAAATTAAAGACATCTCCGAACATAAATCACTAAACCAACGATGGGATTTTCAAGAATTGATGATTCATAAAATAAGCTGAAGAAATCTTGAGATATGTGAAGCACGTTATGTAATTGAATTGAAATCAGCCTGCAATGTATGTTGATAAATCAATTCAGAATCAAAATGTTCATGATCTAATGCCTAACGAATAACGATGATTCATACATTCATCATATATTCATCGAGATACTAATTGACTGAAATCCAGATTAAAGAGAAAAGGGTGCCAAAATCTCCGCAGTTTCAGTTCATGTTACGAATGAATATACTTGAAAGAAAACCTGGTAATGCATCATTTTGATTTATGTACATTGAATAGCTTTGGAATTATTTTGAAGCATATTTTAATTTTGATTAAACATTTAGAAATTAAGTAGTTCATTAAGCTTGGTAATGGGGAAACAATCGAAATTCTTGAATGCGATCTTAAATCATATAATATAGAAGCATATATATACCTCTTCTCTTAGCAACAGAGCGTTCTCTTCTTCCAAATGTGAAACCATAGATTCCAATTCAACAGTATATGCCTAAGTGTCAACAAGGATAGTAATACAATTAAAATCTCAATGAGATAAAGTGAAGTATAATTATTACTCTCCATTTTCTAGGCAACCAAACATAATTTAGAAATGAAAGCTTGACCTGTTTGCGTTCTCTAGACCGAGCAGCTGATTCCCTGTTCTTGATCATCCTCCTCTGTTTCTGCTGCGTCGCTTTATCCAAAGGAGGTTCCTCCACGGCGCGTCGTTCACCTCTCATCGCGCCTAAACCTGCTGGCACAACGACCAAGGTCTGATGATCAACGTTCCCGTTGTTTCCAAACGCCGGAAACTAACTTCCACCGCCGTTGATAACGAAGGGGTCCACATGATAAATGCCTGCGCCTACTCCCACCTGATTAACAACTCCCCCGACATCCTCTTCTCTAACCGCTCCAGCTTTCGTCAAAAAATCCTCCAAAGTCATCTCTTCCAACTGACCTTCCTGCTTCTGATCGCCTCCTCCGCCGGTGACGATCTCCTTCCAAACCTCGTCGACGGACTTGTTCGCCACATCCTTCGGGAGCGAGAAACTACCTTCGCGTGAGATGGAAGCGCCGAGGAACTGTGCGTTGGCGTCGGATGAAGTAGTCGGCTGCGGCGGCGTCGACGAGTATATGTTTTTCAAGAGATCGTTCATGGTCACGGAGCCAAGGCAGTTCTGAGATTGGTTTTGGTTGTTGTTTTGTTGGTTTTGGAGATCAGCGAGGAGAGTGGAGAGCGAAGAGCGTAGGGATGGCTGACGTGGCACGTCGGGATTCGTCTTTGACGTGGTCGTAATCACCTTGGAAGATGCCATGACATCCCGAATTTTGAGTTCTATTTTCTCCACATCGTTGCTCACTTGTCCTTTTCTTTCCGCTCATCGGATGAGAGGAAAATTCAAACTGGAAAACGCAAGGCAAAGCAATGAGAAGTGAGCAAATGAGAGAAACAGGGAAAATATAGAGACTTAGGATAAGGTAGTCGAGTAGTTTACCCAATGAATCATCTCTGTCTTATTTTAATGCATTTATAGTAATTTCTATGAATTTTTTTTTTTCTGTCATTAGAATTTATGAAGACTTAGAATTAGAGTAGCGGAATAATGTTATCTTAGTTTAGGTTTTAATCAATTTTGACTTTATTCTTTCTCGTTGCTTGTTATCGTCAACTTTTTGTGTATCCTTCTCGTCATATTTCCTCTTTTTAAATTTTATCGGGTCTTACGTTTCTGTCTATATGCAGAGATTTTTACGCAGGAATTCATTTACAGGAATTACTTCCTATTATAGATACGCATATGAAGACTGCATATGAAGACTATTTCACCTATGTATTTATATATACATACATTGTATTTTATCTTTATTTTTAATTTTCCGACTACCGGAGGTCTTCTACAAAAGCTACTCTCAACCTGACGTTGGGAGCAGCCTACTACCCTACCTCCCCTTACTCCATTGCATATGAAAATAGGATTTTGTTGTTATTGTTATAGTTTTGATTCGATATATAAAAGTAAAACAAACCATATCATTAAAATTGATGAAAATGTTGGCATTGGTCTTAAACCACATCATTCCGTCTCCCTGGAATTTAACCTTTGGAACTTCATTTATTGTGGTTGGTAATGAGCATCATCACACTGCACAGGCATTGGTTGAAGTTCTTTCAAGTATAACTATGGGTCAAAACCATCAAAGCATACAAAATTCTACCAATTCCTTCGTAACTTAGATGACACGATGTAGTAGTGGCAGAAACACCACAGCACGAAGAGACATATTTTGGCAGTTGGGTTAAGATTAGGAACTGCACATGCCAACTTTACAACCCCTTTTCCTTAAAACCCCAATACAAAAGTTGAGCAAAATCTTTGCTTTGGGAACTATTGGGGGGGGGGGGAGGGGGGCTCCAAAAATTCATCTTTCCCACTCTCGTCATCTTCTTTGACTATGCGTTACTTTTGCAATACTCCAACCATTCTGTGCCTCTTTCTTCCCCTGAATTCTGGCTTCCCCCTTCTTCCTTTTTCTTTTTTTATCAGATCCATCTTGGATAAGAGAATGGAGAACAATGAAAGAGAAATTAAATACCTTTCTCAGTCAATACGGATATAAACAAGCTTGGGTTTTAAACACCCAATCCATCAAATCCGCATTGCTTGAATGTAAGTGACTGCTTCCTCGGACTTATCACTATTGCACAATCCACAGATACCTGCCCATTCCATTACAAAAATAATTTAGCAAAATAAAAAAAATCAGTGTAATCATGGACGGAATCAGAATGAAACTTCGGGAGAGACCAACTCAAATGATAATAAAATGGGATCCTAAATATCAAGCCACCAATATAAAATTTTAAAATTAGAGAGTCGGAATCTATTTTGTCTAATTTTTGAAATTACCAAGAATGTTATGAGTAGCCCAAAAAATTAAGGGTCAAACTTAATTTTCCTAATTTCAAAATAAGGATCTGATAAGTAATTAAATTGAAAAAAAAACGTGGACTAAGATTTGATTTTTCTAGTTTCAAAACTGATAGGTACCTTACAAGTAACTAGACTAAAATATTTGGGGCAATACTTAATTTTCATAGTTTCAAAAGTATGAAGGACCCAAAAATTTGAGGGGGGGCACCCCCTCCCACTCATTAGATAGCTCCTACTTGAATGTAATAATGTGAAAAGATAAGATTGAATGTCAAAACGTGTCAAACATGATATGATGCTATGCTTCCCCATCAGTGAGCATGTGGAGAGATCACATGACAATTATGAAAGTGACGATTTAAGGTCAATGAACATGGGTCCCTATTTGATATATGAGCTAAAACACATTATATTTTATTGTTAAGGCTGCTTCATGGCTAAGCAATGATGTGTTAGGTTCCAATAAGCTCGATAATGTTTTCATATAACCCCATTTTGTTAAGCAAATATCTAAAGCATTAGTAATGGACAATGCAAACCTATGTTCGAGCACGTATTCATACATGAATGTAATGGTATAATTCTCTCGTATATGAAACCAATTTAGACAACAACAAAAAACCATATCAAATATGCAACTTGATTTCTATTTTTCTCTAGACCCCGATGTAAGGTAGCCAGAAGGGTCTTGAT